TAACCAGAAAGTGCTGCTCAATGTAAGATTTCAAATCTTGGTCTCCAATACTGTAGTGCCCACCTGTAGCTAAGGGAGACAACCAGCTATTGTTCTAAAAAATTTGTTTTCTCCCCCTATGTAGAAGCCTTGGAGAGGGAACTGACACTGATTCTAATCACTCCAATAGCTATCAAAAAATACCTGAAAGCAAATTCTGAATCTGTCACTCTTGAGTCCAGCCTTGGAAGGCAAAAGAAAAATGAGGAGGAACCCAATAGAGGGATGCTTTTGGAAGCCCTTGTAAGAAATTCCAATGGACTCTCATATGAACATTTGAAGATTGCCCTGTTCTGACAACTTTTTTCTAGTTCCCGTCTAGAACTTGTAATGCTAATTACTCTTGCCTTTACTTCATCTTCACATCTCCTAGTCACGATTCAAGGACTTTCTTTTCCCCCTAGAGATAAGAGTTATGCAATTTGCAAGTCTTTTAGATAGACCCACTGAAGGGGTACCCCAATTGCCTCACCCTGTGTTCAGCATGGAGGAAGCCAGAGCAGTCTGAGTCCCTATTCCCTAGTAGCAATTTGGTTAACTTCTTCAGAGGATGGTGTGATAAGAATAGGAGGTAGGAATTAGCTAGGCAGTTAGGGTAAAAAGACCCTAAAGAAAAGTAGCCAGTTTCTTGGCTAAAACTCACAATGTCCTTGGGCCTCTTAGCAACCTACTCCATTCCAAAGGCCAAAAATGTTGAAAATATTTGGGAGCTTTTATCTAATCTTTAAAATATTTTAGGGCTACCTCTCCAGAGGAGGGAATGTTAGAGTAGCCAAAAAGCCCCATAAAAAATAATAAATCAAAGAAGAAGAAAGAGTACATGAAGTTATCAGAAAAAAAGTGATAGGGCGATATAGGAGGAATTGGAGGGGAGGGAGTGGGCATGGATTTGCTCAAAACATGTTATATGCATGTATGAAGTTCTCAAAAAATTATTCATTAAAAAAAAGAATCTCACCTTTCTAAATGTCAATAGGGAAACAGTAACACCCTGTTGCTTCTAGGACACTTTCCCAATATACCATGGGAGGAGCTAAAATGCAGTCTTGTCCTTAACAGAAAAAAGATGGGACATTTATAAGGAAAAAATATCATTGAGGGATTTGTTTTTTGGGGTCCTTGTACTGCTATGACCCCCCCCCCACTCCTCAAGTCAGGGTTCTGCTCCAGTAAGTGGGAGAAGCCTTCTGATGACCACCACCAGGGGGCGCCGGGCGTTGGGGGATCATTAATGCAGGCGGCCCCTGGGGGGCGCTCCACACTCAAGGGTTTAGGTGGCTCGGGTCAGAGCCTATGCTTGGTTTTGCAGAGAGGAGTCTCTGGCCTAGGACTGATCTCAGCGTGCCCCCAGGGCTACTTTTGGCCCTCTTGGGCTCTCGAAGGACCTGTGCTCTGGAAGCTCACCGGTGCCAGGGAAAGGGAACAGGTAATGGGTTCCTCAGGAGGCAGAGGGGGCACTCAAGGGTGGGATTGTACCTCCAAGCACAAGGTGCCGCATATGGAGGTTGGGAAAGTCAGCCCATCTGTTGCTAAATAGACTAAGTGAAATATGATCCGGTTGATTTTGTTTTAATTGCATAGTTTCTATTAAGTACTGGGTTCACAGACAGCCACCCTGGATCGCAGTTTTACAAAAAGCAGGCAACCGTATTATGAGAGGATTTTTCCAGTGCTTTCCACACCATGAGCAAATTCTTGAATCACTATGTAGAATTCGTTTTTACAAAATGCAACCAGAATGTAAAATATTCTCCAGGGAGGTTTCGAGAAGTAAACTTGCAATGATCCATGCTGTCTACAATGTTTTCCAGAGAAATTCTCATCTTTGTATTTGAAACCTTGGCAGTTCTGCAACCACCAGACAAGAAGGAGAAGGCAAACGATCCTCTGGGATTACTGAGGTGGGGCTTGGTGGCATGTCCCTAAAACAGGCACTGTGGATCACCTCAAAAGTTTTAGTGCAGTTTTCATCCAGGTAGAGTTCAAAACTGCCCTCAGCTGTTTGGGAGCTGAAAGAGGACACACCGAGCTGTGTTCTAATCCTTTCTTATGTTGCTCTTGTTCACGGCCAGGAAGCCTGAGTTGCAGCATGTTTTGTGGTTTTTCATAAAATCCACAGACTTGGTTTTTATGAAATTCCTTAATTCTCCTGGGCTACAGTTTCCTCAGGTGTACAATAAAGTGACAGCATTAGAGAAGATGATCTTCAGAGTCTGCTGCCCAGTGGGTCAATAAAACAACTAGGTGATAAGCCTGAGAGGTGAGTCAGTGAGTAAAGTACTTGTCTCACAAGGCTGAGGACCTGAGTTCAGATTCCCAGAGCCCCTGTAAAGCTGGATGCAGTAGTAAGTGCTTGTAATTCCAGTGCTCCTACGATATGGGAATGGAGACAGGACAATTCCAAAAGCTCATGGGCCAGCTAGCCTGGCATTTGGAGAGGTGAATGGCAAGAGACCCTGTCTCAAACAAGGTGAAGGTGAGGACCAACGCTGGAGTTGTCCTTTGACCTCTACACAAACACCATGGCACACATATACATACACACACATGCACAGATTGAAAAAAGAAAACAACCAGGTGAGCTTTCCAAGCCATGTGCATCGGAAACAGCCTTAGCAGAAGGGGCATGTGAATATGGGTAAGCCATACAACAAAAGCCACTGGACTCTTGGCTGTCAATTTACCAACTGCCTTCATCTCCCACTGCCAGCTGGCTGCAGTGGATATAGTCACCACCATTCCCCAAGGAATATGAGAAGTTGCACAATTCAAGCAATAGCTCATCTCTTTCTATAGCTTCTGTTGCAAAAGCTCTGCCGATCCAGCTGATCCAGCCAATCCAGCCGATCCAGGACTGATACCTAACTTGCCTTAGAGCCTCTCTGAAGGATGACAAAGGTTAAAAATGAAGCCTCTGGAAGCCCAACCTTTGTGGAAGATGCATGCCTGGCTAGTTGTGTGTGTGTGTGTGTGTGTACATGAACACTCACTATTCCTGTTCTGTTCTACCCTAAGCAATATTTGTAGTGCTTTAAATCCCATGATCTTGAGGGGTGGGGTGGCGGGTTACTGGGAGTTCAGCATGATTCAGTCACAGGTTTCCTGCCCAGGGCAGGTCACTATATGAGACAGTGACAATTGGAAAGACTCAGGAAATTCACCAGACAATGAGAGTGGAAGGGACAGAGTTTAACAGTGCTTCCCTTTTCTAAAAATGAAAGTACAGTGGAGAAAGTAACAAAACTGAATGGGGGCAGGAGGCAGCAGAGAGGCATTTTCCCCTATTCACTAGCTGTCTGGGAAAATGAGTTTGAATTTCATTGAGCTTGCATCCTCTACTGACAGCACAGTTGCATTCCTCAGGCATCGTTGGGGATCCACCACAGGACCAGGCTCCTTAGATCTGCTGGTTTCAGCAGTGACCTTGAATGGAGAGTGGTCCTCACTGTGATTAGTGTGGCAGTCTCTGAAATCAGCTTTGCCAAGGACCTGCTTGGGACCCACTGAAGGTGTGGTGCTTTCTAAACCACCCAGACATGGACATAGCTCATTCATGGAAGAGGAGCCTGTGCTTTGGAAGAATTTTTCATTGGCTATTCCAGATGTATGGTGTTCCCTCAAGGAGGGTGCACTTTTGGAACGTGAGCTTGAGTACCCAGTCCAGGGGGTGAAAGCAAGGACATTTAGAGGTGGTGGCTTCCCAGGAGGTGAGCAGGATGGGGACAGAAGAATGAGTCAGAATAGCAGAGTGCTGGACTCTGCCACCTGGAGACAAGTCCTGAAACAGGGCATCTGAGCATGTGCCACAGGATGTCGGTGTATCCTCTTCCTACCAGTAAACCAGAGACACACTGGACCACAGTTACAGACGACCCTCCTCTCAGGCAAGAGAGATGGAGAAGATGGTGCCAAGCAAGAGTCATTGCTACAGTGGTCCACTGTCCCTTTTGAAAAGAGGCAGGATGCAAAGGGAGTAAGACCTTGACTCTGCCTTTCCTGTGGGCTGGCTTAGGGCAGGAAGACTCTTCCTCCCTTTGTGCCTGTTTCTTCTGCTATAAAATGGAGGTGAAAACAGGACCTACATGAATTAATACACGTGAAGTACAGGGCTGGCACCTTGAATGAGCTTAACAAATGTCAGTCAGCTCTGGCCATTGTCCCCATTGTGTGTGGATGCATAGGAGTTCTGTAGCAGCCAGGAGACCCTGTCTCAAATGAGGACAAGCACTGAGGTTATTCTCATGGCATTCTCAGGTACACATTCATAGACATGGATATGCATCCACATCCATGCATATATACAGACACAGGCACACACACACACACACATACACACACACACACAGAGGCACACACAAATATCATTTTCTCTAGTCCAAATGGGAATTTTGGAAAGGTTAAACAGTTTTCATGAACTCCTACTTCAATGCTCTTTTTATAGCAGCATCTATGTAAATTAAGGTGTGTACTTATTCATGAAGATGACTCTGTGCTGATAAGCAAACAGTCTCTATTTTTTGTTATTAAGACACAGTGAGGGTGCTAGAGAGATGGCTCAGCAGTTAAGAGCACTGGCTGCTCTTGCAGAGGACTTGGGTTTGATTCCTAGTACCAACATGGTGGTTAACAATCATCTGTAACTCCAGTTCCAGGGGAATCCAATGCCCTCTTCTGACTGCACAGGCATTACACGACATGGGTACACTTACACATATACAGGCAATGCATGCATACACATAAAATAAAAAAAAAATAAAAATATATAAAGATATATACATAAAGACACAATGAGGTATTTCTATGCTCAGAGTTCTTACCTTGGGGAGCCTATACTTTTCCCTGAGGTGGATTCTGAGGCACGCCCTCTCTGCTTTTTTCTGAGTAAATGCAGCATCTCTTTCTATCCTAAAACAGGTAAAGCATAGGAAAAAAGTCATAAGGACATAGAAAGCCCTGAACATTCCAGCTGGTGCTCAGGGGAGCAGGACCTAGGGACACATCTGTATTTCCTTTGCCCACAGACCTCTGGGAAATACAGGCCTTTCCCCTAAGTCCCCAAAGTCTGCTTCTCTTTTGCTATCTATCATCTCTGCATTACAGAACTCTAAGTTCCCCAGGCACCTGGGGCCTGGGAATGTCTTTGTGATGCAAAATGAGAGCAGAGCACATTAGAAGGATGGTTCCTGAGGGACTGTGTGGCCCTGGACCCTGAGCATCATCTGTGAAGAAGGCAGCCTCCACATGAACTCCTCCTCCTGCTGCATCACCCCCTAGGTGGGGATGGCAAACTACATCTAGTAAGCCTCCTCCTTGAGTACTTCTTAGGTAGGCAGAAAACAAAGCGTCCTAGTCTAGGACCAGAACATATTTTGGAGGCCCATGGTATTTGGAGACATGACACCAAATCGTTTCCTTCCATTGTCACTCCCAGTTCAGACTTCCCTGTTCAGAGAAGCTAAATGAGACAGTCTATTCCCATCATGCCAGGGGAGGGTTCTGCTCTGTGAATGACCTAATTGGACCCATGATTAAGCCAGTTTGAAATGGACTTATGGTGATTCACATAAAAGCAGACAGCTTAAGGGATATGTGCAAAGCTCACAAGAATCACCTCCCTTCCCAGGTACCCAAAAAAGTACATCACTCATGTTGAAATTTATTCACATCTCCTGCCTTCTGGCTGTGCTGGACTGGACCAAGTTGGGTAAATGAAGTTTCTTTGGGAATTTGAGGTCGGGACTGGGAAAGACAGAGACTTGAAGCATGGCTTGAAGTGTAGCAGATGAACTTGAAGGGCCTTGGCTGGCACTTTTCACTGGCCTTATGGTCTGGGTCATAGAGGGAGCTCTGGAGAGAGCTGGCTGTGAAGGAAACAGGAAAGCAGCCCCCTGTGAAACCAGTATTATGACAGAAAGTGCTCATGGTCACTCAATAAAAGCCTTTTGGCTCTTCCTGTGTGTTTTTTGAGTATCTTTGCACAAAGAATTGTTCACATGAAAGTAAATCCCATTTTTTGTGTTTAGGTGAAAATTGGTTACTGTTTCTTGACTTCAAGTTGTAAAGCAATCCTAACCATTACACAAAAGGCAGACTTCAGACCAGCTACACCTGAAACAAGCAATCACACTGAATGACTGATCAATGTGCCCTGGGCTCAGGTGGTCTTTGGACTCAATACCATCTGCAGAATGTTCTGGAATAGGTCTGAGAGGAACATTGCATTTAACTTTCTAGTTTTGAGAGAGAAGTAGGAGAAAGTGACTTAACTAAGAGATTAGTGGCCTGTGGCATGGGTAGGGAACAGATCCTTTCCTCCCAATGTTTTACTATGAAAGCTTCCAAACATACAAAAAACTTGAAAGAATTTTAGATTGAAAGCCATATTTCCATTATCTAGATTTGCCAGCTTGTACTTCACAGTGTTATCACATATCCATCCTTCTATCTATTCATTTATTCATCTTACTTTTTTGTGTTTCAAAGTGTAGAAATCAGGACACTTTCCCAGAACACTTGAGAATGTCTATCATGAGCTATTTAAAGTTCCTGTTTTCCTTTTGAAGAAAAAAATTACATGGGATTCAATCCACAAACCTTAGAGTGTTCCATTTGGCAATCACCCCAAATGCCCATACCTGCATAACCCAACCCCTTTAGCCAGAAAGATTCAAAAGATAGATTCACTAGCTTTTGCTTGACCAATTAAATTGAAGTCAATTAAAATATGCCTAGACCAGGAAAGTGTTAAGCTGTGTTAAGAATGGCGGGCAGATTCACTTGGTATTGTTTACTTCTGCTAGTATTAGTAGCTGCTGATGCTAAGGGGGTCACTTTAGCTCAACAAACTTTGCTCAGGTTAGAGGTAAGCAATCAAAGGAAAAGCATCTTCAGATGCAGAGAGCCATCAGCTGGGAAGTGAAGGCCTGTAGCCAGGATGGCTTGGTTTTGCTGTGCAGGGAGAGGAAGCCGGTACTCACTTCTCCTCAATCATCTGCTTCTGGTATTCCTCATACTCCTCTCTAGTCATCCCTTGAGCTGCGGCAGGGCCTGAGGTGCCTCCTTCTTCTTTCTTTTCTTCAGACCCACCTCCAAATCCTAAATTCTTTACCTGGTTACTTATCATATTTTTCACAAAGAAAGCCATTGTCTCAACCCTAGAAAACTAAACTTAAAATTCAGATAAAAGCTGGAAAAAAAAATAAATGAACCTCCAAACTAAGGCAAACAAACCCTCCAAATATTCTCAACCACAGCCACACGTTTAGGAGCAAAGGATTTGCCCAGCCTCCTCTGTTCAAGGGCACACTGATAGTGGAGAGTGGTTTGCCAGTCGTAAGCTGGATTAGAGGGTGAACTCTTAGCACAGAGGCAGATGGTTCCGATTACTAAGGTCCATGATCAGATGTAACTCACTACGTTATGATTAATACACTCAGCTAATTTCACAGGGAGGGAACCTCCTGACATTCTCCGCCCCTCTCCTTCTACCTATTTCTAAATTTTATTTTCTGTTTGGCAGAGCTGGAGATTGAACCCAGGGCCTTGTGCATGGTAGGCAAGCATTCTATCACTAAACTAGGTCCCGAGCCTCTAAAATTTAAGTTAGAAACACAATAGGGCTTCATCAAGAGTCCTGTTTTAATTAAATTAATCAGACCCAATTGATTATATGGCTGTTATAGAATTTCTAAATTCCAGCCCTTGACTACAACATGCTATTGAAAACAGCCGAGTCAGACTCAACCACCCAAATACTTTATTAAGCTAAAATAATCCTTTTGATCCATATTTATCTCTCTGGGCCCTACGTATTAGGCAAGCATTCGCTTTGGGGTTTGCTTTAGTTTTGCCTTCCTTCAATAGGGACTGTGTCTCACAAATAAACAAGTCAGGCAAGGGGGTCCAGACGGTGAGCCATGGTATTTAGTTCACCCTGGGAGACTTGCTTAGCGTCTACTGCACGAAGTGTCACTCATCTTCCTGAGAATGATATTCTTTTATAATAATTTTTAAAATTAAAAAATTATTTATTTAATAACGATATAATTATTTTAGGTTCACAGTTGAATTAATACAGTTACACAATATTGAACTCTGTATAGACACTGTAAGACAAAAGTTTGAATGAGTTTTTAACATTTAAAAAGATCTCCATCTTCATTTTCATTAATGCTACTAATGCTTGGATGTTTGCGCATGTGTGTCTAAACTCTATGTTTCTGATTATTACTAGTCACAGTTGATTGCACTCAGATCCTTGGCATCTGAGTATGGACATAATGTCATCAGGTAGATTTCAATGGTAATGTTTTTCACAGCTACTAATTATTAAGGAGTAAATTTTTATGCTCTGAAGAATTATTTTTTTTCTTTTTTCTAAATTTATTTATACACCCACTTCCCAGATGTCACCCTCCCATAGCCTCCCTCTCCCCACTAGAGCCCTTATACTCTAATATCCCTGCTACTGTCTGCTGTGTTGTCGGCAGCCCCAGCCATTCTCCACTACTTTCCCTTCTGGTGGATCTAGTCAGCTTATCTAGAGGTCTTTGTTTAGGAGGGTCAGCTGTTCCTCATCTAGTGGTAATCAGTTGTCTATATTCCTTTGGATAAGATTGGGGTCTGCTGTTCATTTTCCGAGTTCTATGCTGGGTTACTATCTGGGAATCCCTTTAGCCACCCTGGCCAACAACTCAAAAGAAGGTATCGCTTGTCTGGCATTGTTGCTTGTTATGTAGTCATTAGCTATACATATGGACTCTTGTAAAGTTATGTTGGCACATTTAATCTTTGGTTATACTTTCCTTTTGGGTGTTTAAGGCCATACAGTTGGTCCAGATAAAACCAATTTATCTTTACACTTAAGGTCATTTGGGGATCTGTTCCTCAGGGGTCACATGGGCTTGGGAGGAGCCTCTGGTCCCTTTCTTTTACCAATTCCACCTATGTGAAGATAAGTCAAAGGTCCTGCTC